CCCTCCCGGTGTCCCCTCGCGGTGTCCCCTCCCGGTGTCCCCTCCCGGTGTCCCCTCCCCGTGTCCCCTCCCGGTGTCCCCTCCCCGTGTCCCCTCGCGGTGTCCCCTCCCCGTGTCCCCTCCCGGTGTCCCCTCGCGGTGTCCCCTCCCGGTGTCCCCTCCCGGTGTCCCCTCCCCGTGTCCCCTCCCGGTGTCCCCTCCCCGTGTCCCCTCGCGGTGTCTCCTCCCGCCGTCACCTCACTGCCACCGCCCCCCGCAGGGACGGCCCCGCCGCCCCCGAGGGCTCCGGCTCCACTCACAGCTCCCCCGAGAGCCGCCGGCACCACGACAGGTCCCCACCGGGACACGGGGGGCCCGGGGACGGGAGGGGTGGCACCGCGGTGGGAAGACGCGGGGGCTTGAGGGCACTGGGATGATGTGGCAAAGGGGATGGGGTGGCACCGGGATGCGTGGCACCAAGGCGGGGGGAGATGGGGACAGGGCGATAACAGGGTGACACGGGGGCTGGAGGGCACTGGGATGGGGCAGCACAAGAACAGGGTGACACTGGGACATGGTGGCACTGGGGATGGCGTGGCACCGGGATGGGGTGACATAGGGACACGGGGATTGGCAGTGCACCCCTTGGAGGACACTGGGATGGGCAGTGCAAGGACAAGGGGCACTGGGATGGAGTGACATCAAGGTGACAGGAGCACTGAAGGGCGCTGAGATGGTGCAGCTCAAGGACAGGGTGGCACTGGGATCGGATGGTACCAGGATGACACGGGCACTGGGATGGGGCAGCCCAAGGATGAGGTGGCACTGGGATGGGGTGACATCAGGGTGACACAGGGACAGGGTGACATGGGGACTGGAGAGCCCTGGGAAGGGACAGCACAAGAGACACTGAGACATGGTGGCACTGGGGATGGCATGGCACTGGCATGGGGTGACATAGGGACACAGGGATTGGCAGTGCACCCCCTGGAGACACTGGGATGGGCAGTGCAAGGACAAGGGGCACTGGGATGGGGTGACATGGGATGGAGTGGTACCAGGGTGACATGGGGACTGGAGGGTGCTGGGATGGGGCACGTGGGATGGGATGGGATGGCACTGGGACAAGGTGGCACAGGATGGCACAGGAACCATGGGGACAGGACACCAGAGGGATGGGGTGTCACAGGGACAGGGTCACCCAGGAGCCGAGTGGCACAGGGCCTGTATGGCACAGGGACAAGGTGGCAGGGGCTGTGGGATTCAGGTGGCACTTGGGTGTCTTGAGCGCAGGGTGGTACAGAGGTGGGGTGGCACAGGGACACATGGCATGGGGACAGGTTGGTGTGATGAGAAGGGATATAGGGGCAGGATTGCATGGGGCTGGGACATGCAAGGGATGGGATGGTGTGGGGACAGGGTGTCACAGGGATGGGACATCCCAGGCATGGGATGGCACAGGAACGCAGTGTCCTGGGATGGGGTGGCATGGGGACAGGGTGGCATGGGGATGGGACATGCCAGGGGTGGGATGGCATGGGGACAGGGTGTCACAGGGATGGGACATCCCAGGCATGGGATGGCACAGGAACGCAGTGTCCTGGGATGGGGTGGCATGGGGACGGGGTGGCATGGGGATGGGACATGACAGGGGTGGGATGGCATGGGGACAGCGTGGCACAGGGATGGGACACCCCAGGGACAGGGTGGCATGGGAATGCAGTGTCCCAGGATGGGGTGGCACAGGGACAGGGTGTCCTGGGGCCAGCGCCGCATCGCGGCGGGCCATGGCAGTGGCCACGGGGCGCGGTGCCAGCCTGTCGTGGCCTTGGGGACTGTCCCTGCCCACGGGCACTGTCCCTGGCAGGGCCGAGAAGCCGGAGCCGCCGGATTTCTCCCGCTCCTCCTCCAGCGCCAGCAGCTTCGGCAGCGCCGCCGAGGAGCCCGAGCCGGGCCGGGTATGGGGTGCCCAGGGGACAGGGGGGGTGCTGGGGGGGCCGAGGGGGGGACAGCACCCCCGTGACCCCCCTGCCCCCTTAGGAGAGCCGCTCACCCTCGGGGACCCACCGCAACGCCTTCCCCGACACCCCCTGGCCGGATGACCCCCCCGGGACCCCCACAGGTACCCCCCAGGAGCCCCTGAACCCCCGGAGCCCCCCCAGTAGCCCCTCACCGGGGTGTCAGGGCCCCACGGTCTGGGGTCCCCCCGGGGTGCTCATGGCCCCCCCTTTCCCCCAGGCCGCCGCCCCCCCGACTCCCCCTGCCCCGAGATCAAAATCCAGCTGGAGCAGCCCCCCCATAATCCGGTGAGGCTGTGCCCCCCCCGCCAGTGCACCCCAGTACGGGGGTGCCCACACTGGGGTGCCCCCACTGATGTCCCTCCCACAGGGCTCATAGTCACCCCCCCACCCGCGGGGGGGTCACCGCTTCGCCCCCCCGTTCCCCCCGTGTGCCACCCCCATGCCAGGAGCTGAAGCCATCGTCCCCGGTGCAGGATTTGGGGGGACCCCCCAAAAAATGGGAGTGTCCCCCCTCCAGACAATCTCTGTCACCCCAAATACCCCTCGGGGGAGGGGGGGTGATGCACCACAAAGGGCCCCCCCTCTGCCGTGACCCCAAAATGAGGAGCGGGTCCAACCCCAGCATCACCCCCTTCCTACAAAAGAAATGGGGGGCTCAAATCCAGGGTAACCCCAAAGTGGGGCTCCCCCTCCCCACCTTTATTTTAAGGGAGAAAAGCTCCGGAATGGGTCGGAGGCTGGAACTGGGGGGAGGGGAGGATTATTTTTTCACACCTCCCCAACTCGTGTTTGTGTTTCCTGTGAGTCCTGTATAAAATAAAGGTTTATTTATCGCTACAACGGGTGGGCCCCAATATCTGGGTTGGGGGGGTGTCCCCAAAACCCCAAACATCAGCGGGGGCTATAAAAACATCCCCAAATTCACCCATTCTGGGGGTCATTTAAGCCAAATTTTGAGATTTCCCAGCAGCCAGGCCAAGCAAAGCCTTTCTTTGATGCTCCCTATTTTTGGGAGGGGGCTGTGGGTACCCCAAAATACGGCAGGCAATGGCTTCACTGCCCCCCCAAACCCAGCCTCTGCTTGGCTCCCGTGGTCAGCCCGGCGTCGGGAGCGGCGTTTGGCCGCGGCCCCGGTGGCCACCGGCGTCCTGCCAACCCCCCGGCCAAGAGAACGTGGTTCCCCCCCCCGAACCCCCAAAAACCACGCGGCACCCCGGGAGTGGTTAAACATAGCCCGGGGCTGCCGGAGTTCTGGGAAGCGCCGGCGGTGGGGCTGTGGTTGGGATCCGGCGACGCCGGCAATGCCGGGGGGGGAGCAAAGGGTGCCGGGCAAAGGGGGGTGTCAGAGCCCCCCCAAACCCAGCCCCGAGGAGGTCACCGACTACACCCCCCATGAAGGGCCCTGGTTAACGAGGAACCACGTTTTTAATTATGAAATTGGTGAATGAATAAAAAAATAGGGGTGGGGTTTATTTAGGGGAGGGCTGGAGGGTCCGAGAGGGGTTTGGAGGTGCTCAGGGGGGTGTTGGCAGTGCCCAGCTCAGCTGGGGCATGCAAGGGCTGCTCGTGGGGGGAATTGGCACGGGAACGTGGTGTTGGCTCAGCCAGGGCAGGGCTTGCACGAGCACAGGGACCTCCCGTGCATCCCGTGGGGGGGTCACACGGGCACGGGGAAATCTGCACGTGCAAGGAGTGTTTTGCACGAGCACAGTGACATTTCCACGTGCCAGGCACTGCACACACTTGGTGGCTTTCGCAGGTGCCCAGTGGCATTTCACACGTGCAGTGACACCTCTGTGGGCACCGGGGCGTGTCACACGGGCACCGGGACTCTTGCACGGGCACGGGGACACCTGCACGCGCAAAGCACTTCATGGACAGGCACAGCGACCTTTGCACGGGCACGGGGGGGTCTCAGACGTGCACGGTGACATCTGTGTGTGCAAGGAGCAAGGTCCTTCCTTGTGCAAGGTCCTTCAGGTCAGCGCACGGTGACCTTCGCACGTCGCACTGTGGCATTTTGCACGTGCAAGGAACCCTTTGCACAAGCACAGTGACATTTCCACGTGCAGGGCACTGCAAGCCAGCACACGGTGACCTTCACACGTCTCACTGTGGCATTTTGCACGTGCAAGGAACCCTTTGCACAAGCACAGTGCCGTTGGCACATGCGTGGTGAGTTCTGCGTCTTCCCCGTGGCACTTTTGCACGTGCACAGTGACTTTTGCACAATCCCAGAACCACTTGCACAAGCCCAGCGACATTCCCACGTGCCAGGCACCGCACACACGTGCAGAGTGGCCTTTGCACGTGTCCCGTGGCATTTTGCACGGCACCCGCGCGTGCAAGGAATCATTTCCAGTGCACAGGAACCCTTTGCACAAGCACAGTGACATTTCCACAAGCACAGTGACATTTCCACGTGCAGGGCACTGCAAGCCAGCGCACGGTGACCTTCGCACTGTGGCATTTTGCACGTGCAAAGAACCCTTTGCACAAGCACAGTGCCGCTGGCACGTGCATGGAGAGTTCTGCATCTTCCCCGTGGCACTTTTTGCACGTGCAGAGCAACTTTTGCACGGGCACGGTGGCATTTGCACACTCAAGGAATCCACTGTACGTGCACAGCGGTGTTTGCCTCTGCACAAGAGCCCTTTGCACAAGCACAGTGACACTTGCATGTGCCAGGCACTGCAAGCCAGCACACGGTGACTTTCACAGGTGCCCAGTGGCATTTTTTTACGTGCACAGGGACATCTGCCCTTGCACAGGGGCATTTGCACGTCCAAGGAGCCCTTTGCACAAGCACAGTGGCATCTGCACACACACGGTGCTGCACGTAGGTGCACGGTGACTTCTGCACGTGCACGGTGACATCTGCACGGTCACATCTGCACGTGCACGGTGACATTTGCACGGTCACATCTGCACGTGCACGGTGACATT